TGACCGCTATGCATGAAAGGGTTAAGGCCTGATGTTTTTGGGGGTCGCAGCAAGTTCACTCTACGGTCAGGAAAACTAAGGGCTACATGTCAGATTCTGCTGGCTTCACTTAGCAGGTGAATATTATAATTCATGGAAGTAGAGAAAGATAAGAATGGACATATCTGACTTGTCCGAGTGGAAAAATAATTGAGGTGCTGTCCTTGTCCAGTTAAAGTCAAGACCTCAACATGATTGAGGTCTGAGCACACATCCTTCCACAACAGAGACATACATCGATAGTTTAGTAGAAAAAAATAATGCTTAAAGTTAGTTTTTCATAATTCTGCATCATGTGGTCTATTTAGTTTTTAGTTTATTTCTCTTTTCGTCTTAGTCTTTTTTAAATAGTCATATTGTCCTCAGTCGTCTTGCGAATACGCCTTGATGTAAACTTTCGATGAGAACGAAGGTGTCTTTTCTTTTTCAAAGAGCTGTAGCTGTAAGATTGCCTTATCAATCTTACAGCTACCAACAGGTCGGCCATGTCGCCATGGTCAGAGATCCGAAATATCAGACAGTGAGAGGAAATCACAGGGCGGAACGCTAAAGTAGTACTTCGTGTTCATTAGGTCTCCGTTTGCTCAGCCACAACAAATCCACAACTTTTTTCTTCTGAAGGGAGTTATCTGTCAGATAAGCGAACTGGCTGGCAGGTTAGACTAGTTTTTGTTTTATATGTCAGTGTTATGCCCTCATTATGTCCCATAGAGATTAAAATCTAAGAGGAAGGAAAAGTTGGCTAATAGCGCTCAAAGTGTGCAACTGTCAAGGGTCCAAAGTTATTCAGAAAGCCCCTGACAGTTGCCAAAACAGATATGATAAGCACATTACCCCTGCCATTTGCGGCCTGCTATAGGGTGTGTTTGAAAATAGCTTGGTTAAAAAGCCAGCCCCAAGCTTTAAGTCATTTTGTTACAGTGAACAGACGCCCTTTCAGATCTCTGTGGGATACACAGATCACCAGCAGGGGAGACATTTGACATGCGTATTGAAATGTGGTTTAATCACTCATGAACATTACAGCAGTGACAATCCCTCCAACTCAGCAGTGCGATTGCAGATACAGTTTATCCTACATGTGTATGCGTGAGAGCCTGAGAGCGCTGTGAACAGGAAAGCTGTGTTTAGTCAAGGGCCGACCTCGATGAACTGGTATTTTTATTCATTTAGATCTCTTTTTCATCCAATTCATTACAGTCTTAATGGAATTATTAAACTCTTGACTTCTAGGTTTTTTCTATATGCACAATACCAGTGGATCCAAATTTCTCACGCAGCCCATACATGAAAATTAAGATTCCACTTTTAAACTTTTCAGATGGTTTCATTTAAAGAACTGAAGCCCAGAGAAGTCAAATAATTTATATTTCACCAAAAAGTCCAGGACGAATATAAATTTGCTTTTCTTTCTTTCCTCTGCCATTAATCACTTTATGACCACTTAGATTTATGTGTATACTCGTTGGGGGTGGTTGGGGGGGGGCTAGAAGCTGGCTAGAAGCTGTGACAGTAAATTTCTGCTCATACATTGATGGATAAACCTAAAAATGTCCCAGTCTGTTTTATATATTACTTATGGGGGCTGTTTGTACAAGAAGTACTTTAACTTTGGGGACATGCTTTGTATTTATATCGGAATAATTCCAGTGGCCATAAAGCAGCTCTGGCACATTATGTGGGAGTGCTTTATCAAAGTTTGTGGCTTGTGGTGAAAAGAATGGATAGCGTTTTTTTTTTTGGGGTGAAATTTCTTTCATTAAATTATTACCTTCTTCTCAACTATTGCTCAAGTAGGCAAAAAAATGCTTATATCGCAGGAAAAACCTGGAGGAGTGCAGTAACTGCCAAAAAGGCCAGTTATTGGCTATGAGTCTTCCCGCTGCCTTGCACCAAGCACAGTAAGCAGGATGACTGAAGGACTGGACTTTGCAGCTCCCTTTTCTAGAAGAGCGCGCTGACTGTGTTGACCTAAGCCTTCTGGTCCTCAGTGCCAAATTGTGGGTTAATGTGATGAAACAATGCATGTAGACTTGTAGACATCAATAACCCCTTTATGCTAGACCAGGTCAACCAGGAAGGGACCAGAACCCTTAATGTTCTGATCAGAGGCCTTATCCATTAGGCCACATGGTCACACGCATGTGCAACTAAGTCAGTGGTTTGTTAGTTAGGAAGAATCAGCCCTCCGAATCAGAGCGGAGGGCCGGTAGCCCGTGTAATGTGGGCCTGAACTACTGGTTTGAAGGCGAGGCGCGGATTTACAGAAATCCCAAACATCAGCGGCCACAAACAGAAGCTCTGCATCTCCACAGCAGTTTGCCTTTAAGAACTTGAGGGAGAAGAATATGAAAAGCAATCGGAAAAAAAAAAAGGAAAGAAAAAGTGACAGGTGACGGCAAGGAAGAGAGGAAAAATGGGGGGGAAAACCGGGAGCGTTGGAAGTTCAGCGCAGCGGGGCTTTGCTGGAGTCTGCCAGAGTGCGTGTGTGTGCGTGCAAGGCGGCGGCGCCCTGTCACGTTAGCACACCGCTACCTGAGGATAGGACTTCCCCCGGTGGGAGCGTGTGTTCGCTCCAGTGCCCGTCCTGTGTCGGAGCCGCGCTACTCTTCATCATCCTGTTGCTGTTTTTCCTGCATGGACACAGACCTGATGCAGTTATGTGCAGGTCTGTGCCTGCACGGCAGCCCCTCATTGTCTCCTGTCTGAGTGCATGCATCCATGCATCCATCTGTGCATAAGTTGCCTGCACGGCTGTGAGTCTCTGAACAGGGCATGTGTGTGTGTGCGTGTGTACGTGTGTGTGCGTGTGTGGTGCAAGTCGGTGAGAGAGGGACGACGAGGGAGGGAGAGGGAGAGGGAAAGGAGCGAGGTTTGAGAGCTCTTTGGGCAAACGCGGCGTCCTGATGTGTTAGAGCGCTCTGTGTCTCTGGCAAGTTTTTGCTGTTCCTCAGGATTCTGTAAGTTTGGAGTTTGAAGTTGCTGCTGCTGCTGCTGCTCTTTGTGCTTGTTTCAAATGCTACAAGTTCTTCTTTTGCCATCAACAGGTAACGTATAAATGTGTGTTGGGATAAAATACTGTTGATGAGTGAACGTTTTCCTTTACATTTGCTGTCAGTAGGGCTACTGGTGATTGTATCAGTTTGAGTAGAAATAGACAGTTTAATATAATTTTTCCCCCTTCTTTAATGTTGTCTCTTTGGTAATTTTCTCCCACACTTTTTATCCATTGTGTGGTGATTGTCTTTTTATCGTTCTCTATATTAAAGATTGATGTGAGGAACAGTATGATGAGACAATCAGAAATATCTTGATGCAAGTAATTATTTTAAGATTTATGTGCATGTTGTGATATCTTTTAGGGTAGGAAGCTGTGGGAGATATTAATTTTAAATTAGTTTCCACTGGAGATTTCTTCATTTCTAGCTCACTCTCACTATTTCACCAAATCATTTTCTTGATCCTCTCTGTTGAAGCAGTTTTAGAGTCAGTTGGTTGTCTTTATAGCAGCGAAAAAAATCTATTTGCACGTAAAATGATGGATGAAACTGTGTTGTTTTTTATGTTTTTTATTTTAGCAGTACAGGGTCCCACTGCCGGGGTCGTCAGATGTAGGAGAAGGGAATGTTGTACGGTGTAAAAACAGCTGGACGCTTATTCTTCATTAAGCTAAAGGCATTCCATATAAATTGAGTTCTCTCACATTCTGGCTTTTGTTACTAATTTGAGCCAACGCTGTAAGCATCTAATCCCGGTTTTCATTGGACCTCTCGGTTTCAGCCGTCATTCATGTGATAGTAGTTTGGAGAGTGCTGAAAACTCTTTGTTGAAAAATCCATGTTTTTCATTCCTACGTAATTTCTTCCTTTACTAAATTTAACACTAAGTCTGTAAAAAAAATGTCCACGCGTAGGCTGAAGGGCTTTGCTTTGGAAAAATTCTTTACGCTCAATGTATATTTGGCTTTAGCTCAGGACATAAGTAGTTGAAGTTTAACATTTGAAATGTGGAAATAAGGCTGGATGATTGGCTCTGTTTCTTCACCTTTAGTTGCTCCTTTGAATGACTCAATTTGATTGATACTGAGTTTTTCTTTCTAACTTTCCTTCTAACCGTTACAACGAAGATGCAATTGGGAATGTTTTTTCTGTCTCCTTTTTCTACTGTGTTGACATAGTTAGTTGGTTTAGGTTTTGTTTTATATTTCTTTTCCTCAGATTACTCTCGGTGTTTGTATGTACTCCTCAGTTCTTCCCATTCTATAGCTCTAATCAGATAAGCAACAAAAGAGGTTACGCAAAGCAGTTTAAAATGGGGCTCATGAGGAAAGGGCCGTGTCCCAGTAAAATCCTGAAACGTGTCCTTTTGTCAGAGATAATCTAAACAAAACATTCAGATATTTCATTTTGTAACAGTTTTTAACTCTCATAATTTGGACATTCTGTCCTGTACAAAGGCTGATTAAATATATTTGTCATTCCTTCCCTGTAGCTTAAGTGTGTATTCTCTCTCTGTGCGTTTCAGTTTGCACCAACACTGAGGGCATCGCAGAGCGAGACGTTTGTGGAGAAGATCCAAGATTCTTGCAACTTAACATCTCATCCTGTTCGTACTCCCTCTTCTGCCTGTCGGAGCAGAATGCTTTGACTCCCTCTTGCTCAACAGACTCTTTTACTTTCAGTCCTTTCCGACGCTCAACCCTCTGCTGGTTTTGGTCTAATTCTCTTTCTTTAAAGCCTGTTTCTCTTGCTCCCTCTCTCACTCACCTGTGCAAGAGGGGCAGACGCAGCGTTTCTCCGAGGTGCCCCACGTCAGTACACCCTTCCCTCACTCTTCTGGCCCCTCTGACCCCCTCATGGGCACCATATCAGCCAGCAGCATCACATTCCCTTCGTCATCGTCACTGAAAATCCCTCTCCACCCCTAACCCGCTTCGCCAACACCGACATCAACGCAACCCAATGGAGACGAAAGATATGATGATGACGAGCGTGCTGACAATGGACAATAGCGAGAATGAGGGAGAGTGGGGCAAAGGGAGACAGGAGGGGAAGGGGGAAGAGGAGGAGACGCAGCAGGGAAATGGTAGACCGGCGCTGGCCGATGGTCTCGCAGACAGGGGGACCAAGGGCCTGACCTCTGGCCCCGGCCAGCAGGTGTCCAACGGCTTCACAACATCCACTCCTCAGAGCCCCAGGGAGGGACCAGGGACAGCAGCCGGTGCTACGGGCACAGCCTCCGGCTCTGGAGGGGGAGCTGGGTCTTCAGCGCTGCTGGTTGGCCTTCGAACTCTAGTGGTCCAGCAGACCAGCTTGGAGAGGCCCAGAGAGACCTGGAGCAAAAAGATGGACTTCTTGCTCTCTGTCATTGGCTACGCCGTGGACCTGGGAAACGTTTGGCGCTTCCCGTACATCTGCTACCAAAATGGAGGAGGTGAGGCTTTGGGGGGGTGAAGTTGTGAATAGGGATGAGGGAGATTAGGAGACAGGGTACGGGGTTGCGAATTTTACAACACAATTTATGACCCATCTTAAGTGAATTAAGTCTGAGTACAGTACTTCTCAGGTAGATGGTAAAGTACTTCTGCATATTCTTACAAATGGATCACACGGCCAAGAAATGACAGAAAAGTTTAATATAGATTTAGTCCGATTTAGCTATTCTTCTTTGCACAGCTTTAGTGTAAATATATAAAGAAAAGTGTGAAGTCTGCCCTGCTTTGCTCCACACACTCCTTACCTAACACCAAACAGGGGCTCCCCTTTTATTGAATTTGCAATAATAATATCTTTGCAATTTCCTGTGTTCTGTGTGTGTGTCTCACAGAGCGAGGTAGAGATGGGGAATGGGGGACACTTGATAGAGGCAACAGTATTAATTGTGGTTTTTATGAGAGCGCCTCCAGTCTGTTTCTCCTTGCTTAATAACCTGTCGCCCAGGCAGCTGCTCAATCAACCCTTATCTTGGCTTTCATGTCACAAAGAGGCACAAGTGAACACACCACCTCCTCCACATACACACACGGATTCCCACACACGCATAAAGTAAGTTTATAATCTGATAGAAAGGAAGAAGGAGCGAGATGTGTTATCAAACTGCACATTGGGCTGGCATCCATCCCACTGCCCCCCCACCCCGCACTGTTTGGCCTTTACTTTTCCAACTCCTTTTTCACTTTTAATAATACAGACAACATCACCGCCGTTGGAGTTTATTATAACATTAAAAGAAGAGTAACAAAAACCTGGGGAAACGTATTATGATGCTTTTGAGTGAGGTGTCTGCAGATGGCGGTCCTCCTGGAACTCTTCTTTTTTTATCCTTCAAATCCATTTCTCCACTTTCCTGATGTCTTTCTTACATCTCACACTTTTGTCTGTCCAGGTGCCTTTTTACTGCCTTACTTGTTGATGGCAGTCTTTGGAGGAGTCCCCCTGTTCTACATGGAGCTGGCTTTGGGCCAGTTCCACCGCAGCGGCTGCATATCCATCTGGAAATACATCTGCCCCATCTTCAAAGGTAGCGGAGGGTGCGAGGAGCAAACAAAGCCGCATAAGGGAAAGTCAGGGATGAGGACATGAGAGGAGAGAGCAAAAGAAAAAAAAGCCTGCCAGTCAGAGAGCCGTCTGAGTCTGATGGGCGGCTCGTTTAACCTTCTTGGCCCTAGTTTCATGTACGCCTAGTGAGAGGCACTGACTCTCTGTTATGGAAATTGTCACATTTCTCTTCCAAATGTCAGAAGCTCTGAAATTCAGCTGTACGTAAATGATTGTTTTTTGGAAATGCCACCCATTTAACTGAAGAAACATTTGTCTGTAAACACTGTCTCATCTTCTCCACCGGGATTAACTTGTGTCACACATGCTGCTTTCTTTTTTCTTTCTTTTTTTACTTTGATTTTCAGAAATTAGAAATAGGAATTTGAATGGGGCTAATACAACTTTTCTCTCCTACACATTCAGGGATTGGCTTCGCCATCTGCATCATAGCCCTATACATTGCCTTCTACTACAACACCATCATGGCCTGGGCCCTCTATTACCTGCTATCGTCTTTTCGGCCCGTCCTGCCCTGGACCACCTGCAGCAACAGCTGGAACACAGTCAACTGCAACAGCTACATGTCCTCCGACCGCAACGTGTCCTGGTCCAACTCGTCGACGTCCCCTGCCGAGGAGTTCTATACGTAAGTGCATGTAAGTCAGATGTAGAGTTGTAGAGGGGAGAGTAACGGGGAGGGAGAGGTCAGCGTAGGAGGGAGGAGGAGGTTTGGAGAGCAGTCTGAGGGTCGGTTCTGGAGCTCAGGAGCTCTGACAGATTTACCACCAGCTCTTTCTTCTAAACATTCAGTTGCATCACTGTTTGTGGAAGGAGATGCTGGTCGAGTTTTAGCAGAATTTTTCTTCATCTGGCGGCAGATAAGTGTCAGATTTTTCTACAGTGCTTACAGTTTGGAAGGCGGGTTAAGTCTTATCATCTGTTCACTGTCCCGCCTCTGAGCCTCCTCAGTGAGGCAGATTCAGGGTTTATCCGTAGCTGTCTTTTCCTAAAGAGGGTTTGAAAGTAACAAATTCCACCACTCAGTCTGGCGCCAGAATTTCCTGTTTTCAACATAAATCAAGGCTGGGCTTTATCATCCGAGCTATGTGTGTTTAACCCATGACCTGATGTCAGCTTTACTGTTCATTTCAGACTTCTTTTTTTTTTTTTCACTCGGCTTTGTTGACAGAATTTTGCTGCCAAGGCCCCCAGTGCTGCACTGGAGCTTCACAGTTCTCAGACAGACGTTGTTGTTGCTTATTTGATTTGAGTTCCTTTTATTTATTTTTCTGGAATCAGCTTTTCAAAAAAATGTTTTAATCCAGGCGCCATTAGTTCTTTTTGCCACAGACCACGTGTCCTCATCGTTCATCTTTTCTTTCCGCTCCTTCTTGTTATTTCTGGACGTGTTCCTTTAGTGTTATCATGACCAAGTTGTGTTGGAGATTCCAGCAAAAAAAAAAGTATAAGCTCTTTATTGTATCTTTGTTCCTGAAAATATTCTCTACCCTCTTTATTTATTTCTTTCCCTGTTTCCCGTCCTCTCGTCTTTGGGGCTTCGCTGCAGAGTTTTGCTGCACCTGTCGGTGTCTGAACCGTGCTTGCCGCATATCTCATTTCAGTTTTAAACTCACAGAGTATCCACCTCTCTTGTGTCCCCTCACCAGTCGTCACGTGTTGCAGGTCCATCGCTCCCCAGGTCTGCACCAGCTGGGCTCAGTCAGCTGGCAACTGGCTCTCTGTCTGCTCTTCATTTTCACCATTGTTTACTTCAGTATCTGGAAAGGAGTTAAAACATCTGGAAAGGTAAGCGATGGGGTGCTTTCCTGGATTATTTTTTTGGGCAGTGAGATCAACATTCAGAAGTCGAACTTCTGATTCTATCGTAAATGGCAGAACAGCAGTTTTAGCTAATGCAGATGTAGCAGACTGTTAGATAACTTAAACCATGGTAGAAATCTTTGCACGGTAATTTTTTATTGCATTGTCACTAGCTGGGACCTCTGTTTACCCCCTTATTAGAGCCATTGTCAGTAATGGATAGATTGAGTTTCTAAAAATGTTCGCTAGGGCTCATTCTGACATTCACACCATCTTCAAGAAGTGTTTCAGCAGAAAACTCAAGTGGTTTCTAATGTCAACCGTATGATCCCTTTGACCATTAATGCATATGAGATGCAAGGAAACGTGAATAAGTTGATGTGTTTTTGTTTCTGCGTTAGGTAGTGTGGGTGACGGCCACGTTCCCCTATCTGGTCCTCTTTGTCCTCCTCATCAGAGGGGCCACACTGCCAGGGGCCTGGAGGGGCGTCGTCTTCTATCTCAAACCTGACTGGGAGAAGCTGCTGAGCACCACAGTAAGTCAGCTGGTGCAGTGGAGCCTCCTAAAAGCAATCACTGCTCCCCGTTTGATGTTCACATTTTCCCGCTTCCCTTCAAACATCATCAACATGCAAAACCGTCTCAGATTGGCGTCTCGCATTTCTTTTCTTGAAGCTTTGCAAATCATCACCGACTTTAACCCTTTCAAAGGTTTGGATCGATGCAGCGGCTCAGATCTTCTTCTCTCTGGGTCCGGGCTTCGGTGTGCTCCTTGCCTTTGCCAGCTACAATCCATTTCACAACAACTGCTACAAGTAGGAGCACACCTCATTTTACAGTGTCAGGTTCATGCATCAGTCACAGCCATGTCAAGCTCTACCCCAATATTTATTCAAATATATAAAAACATACCAAATCTGCTATTCCTTACCAGGGATGCACTGGTCACTAGTTCAGTGAACTGTTTGACCAGCTTCCTGTCGGGCTTTGTCATCTTCACCGTGCTGGGCTACATGGCTGAGATGAGACAGCAGAGTGTGGACGCTGTGGCTAAGGATGCAGGTAGAGCACAGGATGAACAGGCAGAACAAAGTGGATCCATTTTTTACCTTGCAGAGTTTTCTATTAAGAAAAAAAAATTTTTTTTTCTTTCGTCTGCTTCTTTTATGTCCTTCCAGGCCCCAGTCTGCTGTTCATCATATATGCGGAGGCCATAGCAAACATGCCCGCTGCCACGTTCTTTGCCATCATCTTCTTCCTCATGATTATAATGCTGGGTCTGGATAGCACGGTGAGTCTGCTTATGTCTGATTGTGCTCCCAGCTGTTGCCCATTTCCCCACTTTTACATATTTGGTCAAACCCTGCATTGCCTGCACGTGGTACGACTCTTCTTTTCCCGTTCAACATGCTTCTCAGGTGTTTGAGATTATTTCTTCTTTGTTTTACCGTTCGGTAAAACAAAAGGAGTTTCACGTTGCTGTTTGTGCGATGGTCTCATCTCCATAAGCCTTTGTTTATCTGCTCTGAGTCAGCCAGCTGGAGACCCGTCATTTTCGTATCATCTCCTGATAATCATTCCAGAATCATCATCATGCTTGTTGCACTCCTCATTTAACAAGTGAGGATATTACTGCAAAGTGTCCCGCTGTATCGAAATCCAAGGACTGCCTCAGTATTTTGTCTTAAAGTACCTCAGAGATAAAGACCTGTGTAATCAGTATCAAATGGCTTCTATGCTGCATGTGTTCATCTGAAAAATGTTCACTAACTAATTTTCCTCCCCCCTTTTAATCCTCCCCCGACCATCTTTTCTCATGTCCTTATCTTTTTTGCCGTTGGGGTTTTCCTCCCCACAGTTTGCAGGTCTGGAGGGGATCGTTACAGCCATGCTGGATGAGTTCCCTCATATCTTGGCTAAGAGACGAGAGTGGTTTGTCTTTGGACTCGTGTGTGTCTGCTACCTCGGAGCTCAGTCCACACTCACATATGTAAGTTAAGTAAAGGCACCGCTTTACGCTTTAGTAATAAACCAGCCAGTTTTTTTTGCGTCATCTGCAAAAAGCCAAATGAAGCACACAAAGAATCTGTACCTCACTTGTGGTGTCATTGCTTTGGTTTAACAGGTCTGAGTTCTCAGCAGCATCTGTAATCTTTTCATCCCTTGTCATAATGTGTGATGAGGGTTTCTCCACTGGGCGTTTACTGTCTCAGCCTCAGAGGATGAAACCTGTTGCAAAGGAGTAATTTATAGCCTCCTTTCACACGTGTGTTATGTGTCTCAGGGGGGAGCGTTTGTGGTGAAGCTATTTGAGGAGTATGCCACCGGCCCGGCGGTCATCACCGTGGTGCTGCTAGAAGTCGTCGCTGTTTCCTGGTTTTACGGTGAGTCACGAAGGTATAAATGGAATTTTGGGGCTATTCTGAGTCCCAGAGTTACAGTGGCACAGTGTTTCCTCTGTCTCTGTGTCGTTTCGCTCACAGACGTAAAGATGAGTCATCCAAGGTAAAGAGAAGGTCCAGGTATCTGAGATTGCACTGACTGTGTCTGGGTGTGTGTTTAAGGTACCAACCGTTTCTGTGACGACATCCACCTCATGCTCGGCTTCTACCCGGGCGGTTTCTGGAGGGTCTGCTGGGTGGCCATCTGCCCCTGCTTCCTTCTGGTCAGCATCACGAGCAAAATTCAAACACAGACACAAATGAGGCAGATGTGTTGTTGGTTATCGGCTTTTAAATTCATTTTCTGTGTTTAATTTATTTTCCACTCTCAGTTCATCATCATCAGTTTCCTGGCCTTCCCTCCAGAGGTCAAGTTGTTTAACTACCACTACCCCCCATGGACCACCGTCCTGGGCTACTGCATCGGTGTGTCCTCCTTCATCTGCGTCCCTGCTTATATGGTTTACTACCTTCTTAACGCCAAGGGCACTTTCAAACAGGTACAGAAATACCCTTGTATGTCTTCTTTTTATCCCCACCCTCCCTTTACTCACCTGATTCTGTCCTGTATTGTGTCTTGACCTTTGTTCTCTAACGGACATGTTTCTAACAACAAGGATTGCCTCCGCTCCGCTCCTCTCCTCGTCTCTCGTGCTTCCTCACACGCCCTGTCAGGGTCCGCTCTCTCCTGAGTGAGCGCATGACTGGAAATCAGGATCAAACGAGAAAATGAAGAGACACAGGCCAGAGATTAGGGAGAGAGACGCCACAGCCACACTTAGAGTAGGCACGAGTACAACTCACCCAATCCACATACCACTGTGGAGGTGCAGACTGCCCCATTTCCAGATTAGGAAAAAGACGTTTTCTTTCATTTGATGTCAATTCACATTTCATCAGATTAGTCTCTGCGGTTTAAACGTCATCACTGTACCAAAATGCGTGGGACTGTTCGCGGTGGTGTACTGTACAGCACCTTCTGGCGTACATAATGAAAACAAATAGAGATTCATCATTTTCATTAGGGCTATTGTTACCATCTTGTTCAACTCTGTGAGAGTTGACAGAAGGGAGGGGACTATCAAAGACACTGGCTGTCATTAAGTATTGACATTGCTGGCAGCTCATACAATGGCTCTCACAGTAGTCAACAAACAGCAGCCCTGTTTTTTTTTTATTTAATCTAATGTTTGAGGATACAGAAGAACAAACCGGCCAGAGCAGGTTAAAATCCCCTCATCGTACCCTAACAGTGGTGACAAAAGTTTGTGTTTTTTGTCAGTGGAGACGGTGTGGGTTGAGCGTTTTCATTCCGTCTGTCTTTCTTCACAGCGTCTCTTAAAGAGCATCACTCCGGAGCCGAGCAGTGAAAACCACAGAGACTTTATTGTGACCAACGCAATCTGACCAAACCCTGAACATAAGGAGGCGCTGCTCTGACTGCCTGGAGCGCCCTCTTCTGGGCACACTGCAAAACTACAGGACAAGGGGGCTACTTTTCACCACGTTTGCCTCTTTCCATACATCTCCTTCACCGGTTCCTCACTCCCACCAAGATCTAGAAACCGGGATGAGGCTCTGCTGAGCCGGGCTGCACCTTTCTTTGTTGTTGTTTGGTTCTTTTTGCTGGTCCAGCTGTGCTTCTAGCAAGACCCACTGCTTAGTTTCACTGTCCTAAACATCCTCCTTATATTTGTACATCTCCCAAAGGCATAATTCAGGTCATTCACTGACCAAATAACAAAAATCGTATACACTTATATATAGTATGATACAATCACATGCTTATGTGCACAATGATGCACACACTCAAACTGGAGATACTGCACATGAAACGCAGTTACAGAAGGCCAGACAAATACACCACAGTCCAATATTCCTATTTATTTTCATTTTCATGTTATGCTGTTAAGTTATGCATTCTAATATGTTGCTAAATTCAGGTATCTTCTTCATCCGTAAGCCAAATACATGAGATCTGTTCTGTTCCTGGTCCCTTACCTGTTTCAGTATTGTAGCTGTTGTCATGTTGTGTTGATTGTCAGCCTGTGTTCATTATCTGACACTTCCTCTAAACGACAGATTTGCAATGAGGTCCCTACACTGTGAAGCACCGTCTGGTAGTAACATAGGTGTGCATGTGTGTGACTGTGTGCATGTGAAAGCTAGACTGTTATCAAATCCAGAGTAAAATGGATCACACGCGACACTAACCATGTTTATTAATTCTATAACTGCAATATAAGATATATGTATTTATTTTTTTAAGTATCAGTGCTGGCGTTTCGTCTTTCCTCTCAGTTACACCACCACGAGACACAGGGCCGATGGTCCCCGTTTGATTCCAGTAACTTTCCGCGTATCTGTCAGTAACAGAAGCCAAATATGGATCAGAGCTAATAACATAATTAGTTTTATTGTCTGAAAATCAGTGTTACTGCTCTTTACTTTATACCAAAAAAAAGATGCGTGTCTGTGTGTGTGGGTTCTTGAGGGTGTGTGTATGTAAGAGCAGGACTTAAACTATGGTGAGCACTGTACATCTACATGTCTTTACTAGTGAGTCTGTTATTGGTGTATCCTATCATGTGAATACATGTCTCCTTCCTCCATGGATGTGTGAACCTGTGCGTGTGTTAAGTAGCTCGTGTGATGGTTAACTTGAGCGTGTGAAGGACTGTACACGCCACTTTCTGTGTGCCTGTCGCAGTGATACAATGTGCTTCAGTTGTGTGTACGCGTGTGCATGAGTGTGTGTGTGTGTGTGTCAGTAACGTGATCTCCTGTTGTCTTGTTAAATGCCAAAATATCTGATGAAGAAAGTAATCCCTCTTGCCTCTCTCTCTCTTGTACCTCTTGAGCTTCTATAAAATCTCTGTATGTCTATAAAAGACATGTACTTAGAAACATCTGTATAGAGTAAAGATATAGAAATATATGGGAAATGACATATAATAAAGCTATATGGAAATGAACAACACTGGTCATCTGTCGTGATTGGGGTGGCTGTTGCTCTGGGGAAAGAGCTGTTAAACCTGCTAAACGGTGGGTTGGTGGGATGATCCCAGGCTACATGTCGAGTCATCTTCAGGCAAGACATTAAACCACCACTTTCCTGTAATGCAGCATCAAATAGTCCCAAACCTGGATAAACCTGGATTGCATCAGGAAGAGTATCCTAGGCTAACTTGCATGGTATGACTCAAAACTAAAGTAAGAGCCACAACTATACTACTTAAGCATTTTTTGTTTAGTGAAAAAGATTCTGAGGAAGTAAATATGAAATCTTCTTTGTCGAACTAAATAGAGAATTCTATTTTTTATCCTTTTCTGTGGACACCAAGAAAGAAAATGCTGACATAAAGTCTGTTCAAGCTCAATACCACTGACAAATAAGTTGTACAAATATGAACTGCTTCTAAAACCCTAGAAAATGTGAGTACGTCATCAAAAAGTAAAAAGTAAGTAATCAAAAATAAAGAAGATGAACAGAAGAGTGTCTCCGAGATATGTGAACATTCAGAGTGGTACGGTGACCTCTTGCCCCCAGGCCCCCCACCTGAAACCTGTATGACCCACTATAAATTAGAGATCAAATACACTTGGATTACCTCCAGTAATTATTTACCATTTCCCCCGAGCTCCACAGATCCTCCAGACCTGGCTCAAGGTTTTATTGCTCATCAACACTCCACTTAACATCATTCTAATAAACCTCCTTTGAAACTTAGTTCCCAGATTTTTTCTGTGTCTAAGTCCATTTTTGTGGATTGGCTCATCTGTAAACATCTTTCTTTTATATTTTGCTAGATTGAAGTGTTATCTTGTGAGCATTAGACAGTCTTCCTCATCTGGCTCATCCATCCCCCTTGTGATGCATGAGGATGGAAGCATCATGGTGTGGGGTGAGTTGCATCAGCTCAAACAAGTATGATCAATTAAAGAAAAAAGGAGGGGGGGGGACTGCATGAACAGGCACAGTCTTTCTTAAAAGATCCTCAACAAATTATAAAGTTTAAGCTTCTCTTCATTAACTCCCAGTTCAATTCAGAATAGAACTAAGAAATATATTATTATGGTATTCTGTTCACATATAAAGCTCTGAATGACTGAGCGCTGTCATATCTCATAGACCTTCGCTACCAGACTGCAGGTTGACTTGTGCTTCCCTAGAGTTTCTAACAGCAGAATGGAGGAAGACTCCTTAGGTACCAGGTCCCCTTGACTAACTAGATGTCAATAGTTGTAAGCAGACACCTTCTCTATCTTTAAGATTAGCCTTCCTATATTCTATTTTACAAACCATATAGTTGGGCATGGCTCAGGTGGCACCGAACTATCCCATGGTTAAACCTCTATAGGCCTAGACTGCCTCCCTCCCTCCCTTTTTTAATACAATATAAATTGTTGCTGTCATTAACATTATTTCTCTCTCTCTCTCCAGGCATCCCATCGGTTGCTATTGCAGTGTTTGTTCCCCCTCTTTCCTATCCTCTGAAAATTTAGGTTTTTTCTTTCCACAGTCGCCTTGTGCGCGCTCAGGACGGTGGACTGGATCAAAGAGAAGATTCAGTGCAATGAGGGTTTCCTTAACCAGGACTTTCTTTAATTGGCTCTGTACTCGGTTGGAGTATATTTTCCTTGTAACATAATGAAATGGATTGCTATTGCCTGGATTTGGACTGTCAATTTGAATTACTAAGTATTTGGTGCTATATAAACAAACAAAGTTCTCACACTAGTTTATGTGTCATGGTGACAATGCTCCTTCTGCTTGTACACGGATCTGATCTACACACAAATCAACACAAAAACAGCCCAAGCAACCGTGGGAGATGGAAACAAGATAAAAGTGACGAGGCTGAGCAGAATTATATCCTGTTGTACTCTGAGGCCCTGCGAATTAGAGCAGTCAACCTGTGAATCCTGCGCCGAGCCGGAGGCCGCACGCCTGCGCGCGTCTGTGCCGAACGCCACGACTCCCTGTCATCACTGATTAATCCTGTCACTGACACCTGCAGTCATCGGCTCCGGCTGACAGCACTTGTGCTCACATGCAGACGCTGACACGCGGACAGAGTGGAGGACAAGCAGGAGAGTGAGCAGAGCGACTCATCAAAACCGGTGGAGAAACAACGAAAAAAAAAGATACAAACTTTGAAATGAGCATTTTGTAGTTTCATTGCACCTCCCAGAGTTGTGTGCACCGGTGCACAGAACCTCTACATGTGTGTGTGCTTTATTGTGGCAATATCCTCCGAACTCCCTTCCCCCTGACTGATGGACACATCCTGTGTTCTGTGTCTGGCCTTATCGCAGCAGATCTATATTAAACAGGACGGCGCAGACCGGCGTATCCCTCCACCTCTGCTGTACCTGTCATCTCAGCATCTGCCCAGCTGTCCGTCTGCCAGCCTCCCTCCCTATCGGGTGTCCATCAGGACCTCCAGCTCATTTCGTCCCTTCCCCACCTCTCCTATCTTCTTCTTTTCTTTGTTCGTTCTCATTTGGGCAGGTCTGTCCAGGCCCCGTGTTTGTGGGTGCCTCGGCGGAGCTGTTCTGGCTCTCGATTGCAATAAGT